CCGGAAGTCTGCCCTTACGGCGGACTGGTGGGGCTTGTTTTACTTCTTGGCTGACTCCAAAATGTATGCGATGACAGGATCGAAAGTTACTACTCAATATGAAGTATGTAAATCTTGAAATATTTCGAAGCTTATTTATGCTCTGTGTTGGATTAAAACTTCTATGTTATTCTAAATCAAAGTTTAGATTTCCCACCCCCCCCCTTCCCTCTACCCCTCCGCCTGCGCGCATTACAGGGTTTTGTTATGTTTTCCTAACTACCTCCCCTCCCATCCAAACTCTCCACCTCGAAATAATAGACGATATGAGTAAAGGCAATGGGGGGTGTCGAGAATATGCGTGAAAAAGGTCGTAATGTTATTATTTTTATTTTTCAGTGGGCTGAGATGAACTTAAGCCCTCTACAAGCCGAAGTTCGTTTGAAACGCGACATTCGAGCTTGCAAAACCATCGCCATAATAATCGCTACCAACTTCTTTGCCCATGTTCCCGCAATATTATTCGCAGTGGTGGATTTAGAAAACGGTTCATTGGTCCAATCCTGGCTTGCATTCTTTGCAGTCTATATTCTCAACCTCAGTAGTGCATTGAACCCGATTATTTACTATGTACGAAATAGTCGATTACAATCCGCTCTCAGGCAGTTTCTGAAAGATCCCCTTGGATCTCGTGACTTAAGAGAGAACGCTGTTATCATGATCAAAGCAAGAACCATGAGTAATAATAACGGTATAGTAGGAACAAGGGACAACAGAGTGGAGCATGCATGCGAAAGCGAACTAGATCTGCGTGGGGGCCTAACAAGGCGAAATATTTCAAATGATCAGGAAAACGAAGTGATCATCCTTTCCATAAACAAGATACCGATCGAGGCCTGGGCTTAAGTGGAAACAACACGGAACACGAGGGCTGTAGAATGGCACGCCCAGAGGTGCCCTCAACTTCTAACTCATACTAGGAAGAAGAGCTAGAGATGAAAAGGAAAAAAGAAGACATGTACTTGGACAATGCAAGGGAAAAACAAAGTGCAGAAGATCCTAATGGATAAAAGCGAGATATCTCTTGTGGTGAGTCCTCTCTTGAAAGAAAAGTTCATACTCGTGATATTATCGACTTAAAGGTGTTTACAGAACCTGATGTAGTCAATTTTGTCCTAAGCGGGCATCCCGCCATTCCCCGCGGGTGACTGCTTAGGGCAGTTTCGACTTTATTACCTCTCAGAGGATCACAAGTCATGTTGATCGGTTGAGGAGTATCTCCACCCTGCAAGAGGTAATTTCAATACTGAGATACTCATGAACACAATTCTCAGTGTTTCCCAACGAATGAGGAAAGGTGCTTTACAATATCATTAATTCTAACGATGATAGGTCCGAGAAATTGATATTGGATCAACTGATAATCCCCTAGTTGATGTTTTTCCTCATTTGCATCAGTTGTCTGCATAACGTGGTACTGTATTGTAAGGAGAAATCATGTCTTGGTCACGCTTAGGATTAAAGAGTTAGGCAACCAAACTAAATTGATAACAATTTTATCAATAGGCAGGAGCCCATCTCCTGCAATAGGTTAAACTTTGAGAAAGTTAGGCTATAGCTTTTACACCCTAAAATCAGTTTGTACATTCTCCATGCTGTTACGCTATTTCCATGCATTTCAAAATAAAATACATATTTATGCTTAATTCACTCTTGTACATAACAGATTAACAATAAATAAAAATAATTTTTAACACACTGATAAATTGCTCTAATGAAGAGCCTGGAGGCTAAATAAGTGATTAGTTTTCAAGTTAACCTGCAGTTCAGTTAAGTTCCTTAAATATGTCAAATGAAGGAAAAAAGAATGATTAATTCGAAGCTCCAACATCCTCCCCCATACAACCCACTGGCATTTTGGCCCTGAGGGGCAGAATTTGAACCAACCAATCTTGAAAAGTTCAAACACCCAGTGTATTGTCTGAGGGTGGAGGTGGGGGATTCTGTACGGAATTTGAACCCATGACCTCCCATTTGGCTTGTTAGCTCAGTTGGTAGTGCACTGCACCGGTATTGCAGAGGTCATGAGTTAAAATCCTATACAGGCCTGGATTTTTTTCAGGCCTTATTTTCATTACTGCGATGATCGCTTCCATATTCATTTCTTTGCCCCCAGTTCACATATGATTTTCATATATCTACAGTCAATAGTAATACTTCAATATAATAATATTTTGGTATGTCGATGATGTGGTACTCTGGAATTTATGAGAAAGCAAGGCTCTGTTCTGTACGATACTTGTGAAATATAACCCCTTTGGTATATAAATCCTGCTATGGTCATTAGCACAGCTAGCTTCCTTTCCCCAGGCTAGGCCACTTGAAGAAATCCGAGCGGCGCCGGGACGAAATCATGTCGCTAATCATGGCTAATCTTGTTACAGTACCAATTGCTGACCTAGAAACTGTTGTTTTCTTTCGTTACCACTAATCGTTTGAGCGTTCTGACCAGATGCCCATCAAGGGAAAGACGCTTTAGCTTTTAACTGTTAATTTTTTTAAAATGTTAATAAAGCAATAGAGCTTATGTTCACTTGCATAAATATATTTTGGGCCCGAATCGTTTTAGCCCGAGCCACTTAGCTATGATATAAATAATATAAACTCTATTACTATTAGTATCACTTTGGAGGCATTGATTAAATAAAAAACTGAAAAAATGACAACAAAACAGTCTGAACAATCACACAAGCGTCACAACTTAATGGCTTTTATTTTCCTCCATTAGCGAATAGAAAAGCCTTGACTACACTCTGTTCTGTTCTAAAGCACGCAGGAAGCTTCTAGAATACGAAAGAAAAGTGGGAGAAACACTCGACTACGTCTCCCACTTCATGAGTGTTCTAGCCGCTTCCTGCGTGCTTTACAACAGAACAAGGCTTCTCTATTTGTTTTATAAAAAGGAATTCCTTATATTCCCCACGCACTCCTTTCAATTTTCGAAACAAACTTAATTTCCAAATCGAACAACAGTGTCGTCAGCATTCTCTATACTCTCACAAACCACGCTACAATGAGCCAATCAGAATCCGTGTTAGAATGGTTTACAGGATCTGATTGGCAGAGCAAGATGAGAGCTGTCCAAAATGACAAACCATCAAAGTTCACAATTTACAATGGTTCACAATCTGAAACTGTTCGTAAGGTAAAATTTGACACTTTTGCCTGAAGTTTTTCAGTCTTCATACAGAGTCTGAAAGGGAAATTTTCGGTGAATCCGGTCAAATTATCGCTCATAATAACACGCTAGTTTTTTTTCACATAACCAATAGAAAACAAACTGCTTAAGGCGTGTATTTTATGTACGAATAACAGTCGAAAGTCAGTCGAACAGTCTCGATTGCTCGAGATGACAGCGCCGTAACACTTGGCTGATGTGACTGATGTGGCCTTCGGCTCAACTCATCGGAAAGGATATTAGAGCAAGCTCTCAGTTGTTCATTCGAAGGGCGGCCGATGTAATTTCTGAGGCTTGCTTCACTGCTATGACCGGAGATCGCCATGATGAGCTAGCCGCGATGGATTTCAGCATGATCACAGTTGCTTTGATACCGTCATGATTTGTATGAATTTTAACAATTATGCTAGTTTGGTTACATTTCTCATCATTCCTGTTTTGTTTTGTTCTGTTTTGTTTTCGAACATGTAGCTACATATATCACAGAGTGTTAGCTGTGTTTGATGTTTATTACCGTAAGCTTATAATCGAACCGAGTGTGAAAACCTTTAAAACTTGGACTGTCCGTTCCATTTTCTCTTGAGCCTTTTTGTCTGTGCTCGCGTTATAATAACGTCAATTACGGCGCATGTTTACAAACCTTTGTTTGGTTCTTCTTTTGCTTCTCCCCGGCTCGCTTGTTCCGAAATTTCAATTTCAATTAGCAAAAAAAAGCAAGAGAGAAATCTGGGAAATAGACGGACATAGTACTAATTTGCTTCTTGGCCAAATATTAATTTCTTTCAACCAATGACAGCACGCATTATATCCGAACTTTACTATAAATGAAGATACATCATCAAGCGAAGCTGGCGAGAAATGATAACTGAAATGATCGACTTTATCATGAATAAAGCTTGTTTGTAATTTTGTAGAGCTACTTAAGCTCATTTTTACGCATTTAGAGCTACGTTTTTGCAAATGAAAGCAGAGTGTTCACTTTTATTTGAATGACTTGTAAGCTTATTTGAAAATAAAAATAAAACGAAACAACAAAAAAAAGTGAAAATCTCAATATGTATGAAAGAAACAAATTAAAGAAGAAACATCACCAACTCGTGCAAAAAGGCCATATACTTGATAACCAAAACCATTTTCTTCGCAAAAATCAAACGATCACAGAGCCAAAGATTAATTTGAAAGTAATTATGTATGCACGAACCTAGCAAAACGTTAAGTCGAAAACTGAAAAAATATAATCATTTTTGAAGGCGGATTTGAGCGTGGGTGGTCAATAGTTCGATAATGAATACCAGATAGCACCTTATTGATTCAAAGGTATATCATGAAGAAAGGCACCTGCGTTAGACAGTAGTTTGTGCCTGTTAACTAGAAAACTGAATGCTCTATCTAGCGTATGATTATGGATAAAAATTTCAAAATGTCACATTCAAAGCTAACCAACCAAATTTCTACTTTTTTTGTTTTTAAGGATTGTAAGTTTTAATCAGGACTCTTTTAAACATCCAAAAATGGAAGGTCCAGACGTTTTGCATAAGAGAACTGTGTTTGATTACTAATCCCTCGTCATATTATAGGGCGGAAAAAGGTTTTTTAAGGGCTGTGAGTTTAAATCAGGGCTCTTTTAAACATACAAGAATAAAAGGTATGGACGTTTTGCGAAAGAGATCCGTTTTTGTGTTTGATAGGCCGGAAAAAGGCTTACTTTCATTTGCTTTGCGCGAATGACCAAATGTTAGCCATAAAAAGTGCTTCTAAAAAATCGTCAAGGAAAATTAACGAAATGTACTCGGAAAAACCGTTCTTTACCAAGCTGATAATGAGCGGGTTGACCACCATATTAACTTTGGTGTCTGCCTGCTGTAATGGCTTTGTTATTGCAGTCGTTGCCAGATTCAAATCGTTACGAACAGTTCCAAACATTCTCCTTTCCAACCACGCTCTGGCTGACTTGGTCAATGCCATAATCTGTGTGCCTCTTTACATGATGTACACCGTTTTAGAGGCCAGTTGGTTTCGAGGGAAGACATTGGCAATCATGACAAGTTTCTTTGACCGAGTTTACATCGCCATCAACCTTACCTCGCTGTTGGCGATGATCGTAAATATTTTCCTTGCCATTTCCTATGACCTGAAGTACAAAGTCTGGAAAAGCAACAGAAAAGCCTTACTGTGCGTTTTTCTGATCTGGTTGATTGGCGTCGTGTTCGTGATTGTCGTCTCCATTCCCCTTCTCAACATAGATCTTGGAAACGCTCATGTCACTGAATACAGAGCGGTAATTTACGAGCAAGGAAAATATTTTGTGGCATCGTTCATGGCATTCTTCATCATTTCTGTTGCAATTCTTGGCTTCTTGACGACTCGCGCGATAAAATCGCGGCGGAAAGAGGTAATTAAATGACCTATTCCTGGTCAACTCTCTGCACATTACATATGCCTGAGTTGACGAAGGTTTCCTAAAGGGATTATGGTGAAAAGTTTGATAAATATACCTTGTAAAACTAAAGCTACTCGAAGCCTCTTCGTACAGTGAGATCACCAGCTGGTCTACTAAGACGGGGAAGGGGGGGGTCCGGAAGTCTGCCCTTACGGTGGACTGGTGGGGTTTGCTTTCTTGGCTGACACCAAAATGTATACGATGACAGGATCGAAAGTTACTAGTCAATATGACGTATTTAAAATCTTGAAGTATTTATAAGCTTATGTATGCTCTGTTTTAGATAAAACTTCTATGTTATTCAAGTTTAGATTTCCAACCCTCCCCCCCCTTCCCCTACCTCTCCACCTGCGCCCATTGCAGTGTTTTGTTCTGGCTTCCTAACTACCCCCCCTCCCATCCAAACTCTCCACCTCGTAATAATAGACTATATGAGTACAGGCAATGGGGGGGGGAGGGGGGGGAGGGGGGGAGGTGTCGGTAATGTGCGTGAAAAAGATCGTAATGTCGTAATGTTATTATTTTTATTTTTCAGTGGGCTGAGATGAACTTAAGCCCTCTACAAGCCGAAGTTCGTTTGAAACGCGACATTCAAGCTTGCAAAACCATCGCCATAATAATCGCTACCAACTTCTTTACCCATGTTCCGGCAATATTATTTGCAATGGTGGATCTGGAAAATGGTTCATTGGCCCAATCCTGGCTTGCATTCTTTGCAGTCTACATTCACTACCTCAGTAGTGCATTGAACCCGATTATTTACTATGTACGAAATAGTCGATTACAATCCGCTCTCAGGCAGTTTCTGAAAGATCCCCTTGGATCTCGTGACTTAAGAGAGAACGCTGTTATCATGATCAAAGCAAAAACCACGAGTAATAATAACGGTATAGTAGGAACAAAGGACAACAGAGTGGAGCACGCATGCACAAGAGAACTTGATCTGCGTGGAGGCCTAACAAGGCGAAATATTTCAAATGATCAGGAAAACGAAGAGATCATCCTTTCCATAAACACGATACCGATCGAGGCCTGGGTTTAAATGGAAACAACAAGGAACACGGGGGCTGTAGAATGCCACGCCCAGAGATGCCCTCAACGCCTAACTCATGCTAGGAAGAAGAGCTAGAGATTGAAAGGAAACAAGAAGACATGTACTTGGACAAGGGAAGACAAAGTGCAGAAGATCCTAATGGGTAAAAGCGAGCTATCTCTTGTGGTGAGTCCTCTCTTGAAAGAAAAGTTCACACACATGATATTACCGACTTAAAGGTGTCTACAGAACCTGTCGTAGTCAATTCTGTCCTAAGCGGGAATCCCGACATTCCCTGCGGGTGGCTGCTTAAGGCAATTTCGACTTTATTACCTCTCAGAGGATTATAAGTCATGTTGATTGGTTGAGGAGTATCTCCACCCTACATGAGGTAATTTCAATACTGAGATACTCATGAACACAATTCTCAGTTTTTCCCAACGAATGAGGAATGTTGCTTTCCAATATCATTAATTCTAACAATGACAGATAAAAGAAATTGATATTGGGTCAACTGATAATCCCCTAGTTGATGTTTTTCTTCATTCTCATCACTTGTCTGCTTAACATGGTACAGATATTGTAAAGAGAAATCCTGTGTTGATCACTCAAGGGATTAAGGGGTTAGGCAACTGAACTGCCCACTGAATTCATCACCATGCATGCTTGTGGGACATACATTGCATTGATACAGCATTTTTCTTTAACCGTTTAACACTTTAACTCCCATGAGTGACCAAAACAGAATTTCTCTTTACAATATCAATACAATATCAACCAGATGAGTGATGAGAATAAAGAAAATTATCAATTTGGGGCTAGTTAGTTGATCTAATACTTAATTCTCTGAACTAACATTATAAGCATTGTATGATTGACAGTAAGGAGAATCACAAATTTGATCTGGTAGTTAAAGGGTTCTAAAAGTTTTAGTTTTACATATTTACAGTTTCTAGTGATGCATGGGTTATAGTAAATGATTTTTATGAAATTCTCTGGCTGATCTGTTTTTGTTGGTAACTTAAATATTAAAAGAGAGGAGCTGTTCATATTGAGACCTTTCGTGACTAAATTTTATCAATTTGGTGAAACATTGTGAAAGTTAGGCCATAGCTTTTATACCTTAAAAATTATCAGTATGTATATTCTCCATACTGTTTCCATAAATTTCAAAATATATATTTATACTTAATTCACTCTTGTACATAACAGATTAACAATAAATAAAAATAATTTTAACACACTGATAAATTGCTCTAATGAAGAGCCTGGAGGCTAAATAAGTGATTAGTTTTCAGGTTAACCTCCAGTTCAGTTAAGTTGCTTAAATATGTCAAATGAAAGAAAAAAGAATGATTAATTTAAAGCTTCAACATCCTCCCCCTGGTGACCCACTAGCATTTGAGAGTGTTATCTGTGCCCAGGGGGGGGAGGAAATTGAACTTTGCTTGAATGAGAGTGGAATTTTAACCTGAACTGTCAAGTCTTTTTCAGCTGAATACACATGATTTATCTTTTAATATGCAGGTGTTGAAATGTAAAAAGTTCACTTTGGTGAGCAGATGGTGTAGAAGAAGACCTTTTCAAGAAAGTTACAGTTTCTGATCTTAATTTTAACCAAAAAAAAATGTATGAAGAAATCTGGCACTTTCAAGTGCCAGATTTCATTGTCCATTTTTTTAGTAAATTAAAATTGGGGCATTTGAACGAAATTTTGGCCTTAAGGGGCAGAATTTGAACCCACCAACCTTGAAAAGTTCAAATACCCAGGGTATTGTCTGAGGGTGGAGGTGAGGGATCCTGTACAGAATTAGAACTCATGACCTCCCATTTGGCTTGTTAGCTCAGTTGGTAGTGCACTGCACCAGTATTGCAGAGGTCATGAGTCAAAAATCCCATACAGGCCTGAATTTTTTTAGGCCTTATCTTCACTATTGCTTAAGTAATGTTCATTACTGTGATGATCACTTCCATATTCATTTCTTTGTCTGCAGTTCACATATGATTTCCATATGTTTACAGTCAATAGAAATACTTCAATAGAATGATATATTTGTTTGTCTCATGATGTAGTCACTTCAGATGTGGGTTGCGAGGTTTTTATTGCATACTGCTGGTCTTCTTCATGTGATGGAGTCAGTTGAGCACAAGTCACCTTTATCCTGTTGTGCTCTGCTGTGATTGGATGGAATTCCAGGGCTGTGATAGGTACATCTTTCAGATCAGTTTTCCTCTGTTGTCTGCATCCAACCAATAATTTGACGTAGAGCAGAACTGGGGTGGATCTGAACTTGGTGGGGGTTCAGTGGTGGTGGTCAGTGTCTTTGGGTTTTTTTGTGTAGAGAGAAACAAAGTGCTATTTACCACACTGAAAAACCACAACCTATTATACAACACTAATAATAATACACACAATAAAAGAAAAAGCCTTATGGTGTGGTTCCGTTTTGTTTGTGCTTTCTTTACAGTTTGTAAAATTTGTACATGCTTCCCCATGCTAACATGCTGACAATGAGAATTTGTTTAGCAATCAAGAACCCCTTCAGTTGGTGAACATTTGTATTCATATTGCATGTAGAAATTCTCTCTTGGTCACTCCATGGAGTTTAAGGGTTAAGCAATGAAAACTGCTCACTGAATTCATCACCATGCATGCTTGTGGGACATACGTTGTATTGGTACAGCATTAGTGACAGTGATACATGGTTTACAATAAATTAATTTTATGAAATTCTCTGGCTGATCTGTTTTCACTGTTAATTGAAATGGTAAAAAAGAGGAGCTATCTATATTGAGACTTTCCATGACTAAATTTTATTTCAGGCTATATATCAGGCTATAACTTTTTACACCCTAAAATCAGTATGTATATTCTGCATAATGTTTCCATACATTTCAAAATACATTATTAACTCTTTTACCCGAACAGTGAACATTTCTTTTATTTTGTGACCTTAATGAATGATTCAGTGATAATATTAGGAGAAATTAGTAACTAGTCACTCTTAATCGGGCCAAAGGGTTATTGTTCATGACAGCCACTGAGTGAAGAAGCAGGGATATTATTTTTGCTCTTGAAAGTAGACAAACCTTAACTAATTAACATGGACACCCCAATACAAATTTAACACTGACAGAAAGATCTGTACTGAGACCACAGAAGCCTTGAATGTAAAAGAAGATCTTAGTCCACAGTCACTTGCAAACTGCTTCAAAAACATCTAACGTTCTCTTAATTTCCTTTACTTGTTCAGCCAAGTTTTGAACTGGTTTGAGGCTTGCATTCAGTTCTTCACATCTTGCAATCAGAGTGTACATAGATTTAATGTTCACATCCACTGCCTCGCTCACATGATCAACACAAGTATCATAAGCACTAAGGCAATCTGTGCTCACTTGGGACATGGCTTTCAAACTGTTGGCTAAAGCTTTGAGCATGTGATCCAAGTTCCCTGCTACGTCACTAGCTCTTATCTCTAAATCATTCAAGATTTCTGGATCAATTGGTGGGATTTCCGACAAGCATGATCTATGAACGTCCTCCCAATCATCTAACGATGTGACTTCACTCTTTGTAATTTCTTCATAAGCATCAACAGCTGTCCCTGTTGAAACTTTGTCTTTTACTAATTTTACATCAGATGCTTCTAATGCAACATTAGATTCATAGGCTGATCCAATTTTTGTTGTGTATTCCTTTTCTTTTACTCCTGGTTCCATTGATAATTCAGTTCCTGAAAATAAGATTGTGTATAGAATTTAACCCTTCAACTCCAAGAAATGATTTACAAGTAACTTCTCCCAATAGTATCCATGAATTATCCAGCAAACAGGTGATGAGAATACTCAAACTTATCAGGTAGAAGTTGTTATCTTGATCCAACACTAAATTCTCAAAATGTATCTATAGGAAAATGTAGAGCACCTGGAGGGGAGAATTAACAATTAGATCTTGGGAGTGAAAGGTTAAACAACACATTGTACTTCATTCTGTGTTTGCACTCCTCATCAGTGGTGAATCTCAGGGGACTGTTTGCCAGTCTGGATCCCCTTCCCATCAGATCTCTTAAACCCTCTCTATCAATAACTGGTAGATAAGGTCCAGTAACACAATCATGATCAAAAGTGGGTTGAATCCTCTGGGTGGCAATAGCCTTGAAAACTGTCATCATTCAAAGTGATTTTAAGTTAGAAAACCAGAACTAGAGTAACTCATTCCAGATGACAACTTCCACTCAGGTACGCCAAATTTTAGCCACGGTCAATGACAACAATTCTTTCTTGGGATGTCCTTCACCCAGCCAATTACAAAACCCCTGGGTCAAATCTAAATTACTACATAAATAGAAACATTTCCCACATGTTTTTGGAAGGAGTTTCCTGCCGAAAGATTTGGCATTGCAGATACAATGGTTTTGCTTTTATTTCTGGATGAAACACTTTAATTGCCAGGTTGGCTACATACATACACGCAAAATGAGATAGGTTGAGATCAATAAACAGTGAGGCAAAAATAACCAATGAGATAAATACTTCCTATCAGTTTCTAATAGTCCATTTCACAGTTGCATGCTTGGTTACCAAGTCTTTGAACAGGAATGCGACTTAAGGCGACCTTGTTATGATAAAAATCTTGTAAATTATTTTGTTATTATACTAACGAGATACTGATCTCTATCACAACATGGCCACCTTCAGCCTCACTCCTGTTGAAAGGCTTGACAACCAAGCACGCAACTCTAAAATGCACTATTATCAACATCTTTGTGGCCACTGATACTGTCATAACAAATTAGGGGTAAAATTTTCTCAGTGCTGCTTAGTTTAGATAGAAAATGTGCTGTTTGAAGAGATGGAGATAAAGCGTTACTCGAAGGTTTTCAGTCTCAGATAATGTGGTGTCGTGAAATTCGGTGGAATCTTATGCCCGATGAGCTATTTCACATGCCAATAGTACCATAACAACAAAATACACTTATTTGCTATTCACTTCCTTTGAACATTTGAAATGCTTACTCAGCTGGAAAAAATAAGCTTATTGGGTGAAGAATACATGTTGTGACATGATGTAAATCAGGTGAGCTTAAAGTTACCAATGAGATTACACTTCGAATGAAACGCCTACTGTACCTTGAACAACGTTTTCGGCTCTTAAAGAACTGTCTTTAATTGCAGTATCTTCAACAGTGCTTGTTGTAAGCTCTGTAGCAGAAGTTAAAGTTGACGGTGGATCAGCCATACGTGAAAAGATCGTGAAAAGTCAACCTCGACGAGAGATCTTCGGTAATTTTTATCAGCGGTTTCTAAACTCAGTTCTAGTCGCCCCCGTCCAGAGGCCAAGATGGATTAGCAATGGAAATTATGTCGATACGATGAAGATAAGCTATTCTCCTATTCACACGAGCCACATGGTTGGACACAGAAGACAAAAATACCTTTTGTACATTGGCTTGATATTGGTAATCTTGGTTGTGTTAATTTTGTACTATTTCGGGGCGAAAAGAGAGCCTGAAAATCTCACTGTGCTTGGAGGAAGTGGTAGTGAAAATCTCCCAGCAGAAATTTCTGCTATTGAACCGTACGACAATTCTGTGAAATTTGACTCGGTAAGTATTACTTGGTTACATTTCATGGCTAAACTTCAGAATACCCCGCCACTTTGGTCGGGGCTGTCCTGGTGTACCGGTATACGGGGGAATTCCTATTGTTTTCATATCCACACATGGAGTTGTGACGCAGTTCGTTAATGTTTCGTTCCTTTGTGTACCGGTACACGAGGACACAACCCTTTGGTCCGCCTCACTTACATGTGTCGGGAGGCTTTGAAGATCGAGGCATAACACAATAGATGCTATTCTTATTCAATAACATGTAAATGAGTGGCGGGGTATTCTGAAGTTGCTCCCATTTCATTTCTGAGTGACGACTGGATAGAAGGTTCCTGCATTTTACTTTTTAGGTATTAACAGCTGTATGCTTTAAAATCTCGCACTGTCGTTTTTGATACTGTTTAGTTTACATCCTGATTGTTAAGACGTTTCTAGTAACTGAATTGTAAACTAGCTCTTTAAGCTCATGAGCAAGATTTAGGGTAGTATAATTTCAAATAGTTAACTAGCATAGTTAAAGTTTTGTTATTTATTGAATTCAATGAGCGTAAAATCTCTGCTTGTAGTAATAGCGTTCAAATTCAGAATCACTTGCAATTGCAACTTGGCAACAGCTACATTTTTCTTAGTTTAATTTGTTCTTAATAACAGCAATGGCTCAAAAAGAACTGTTTACAAGGGTTTAATGTAACAGAAGAAGTAGGAAATATTGGGAAACTTGTGGATGCTTGGAAAAATGCCCCTCGCAGAGATTGCAGGTACTTTCTTTGACCTTACTATTAATCATACATTTCTTTTGATGTTATTTCTAAGAATTTTTTTAGTAAAGAGAAACATTCCACATGGCTGATATCTTTCTTTACATGTACTTCCATCCCCTGCTTGCTTGAGAGTGTTTTGAAAATGCAAGGAAAAATTATGTCCTTGTCTTTACTCTCTTGAAGCAGGGATGTGCAGGGGTGAGAACCCTCTCCTCCCACCATTATGACTTGGGTTTGATTCCCAGACCTGGTGTCACATGTGCTTGAGTTTGCTGTTAGTTCTCATCCTTGCCCTGAGGGTTTTTCTCAGGGTCCTCTGCTTTTTCTCTTTCTTCAATAACCAACATTTTAAATTCCAACTCCACCTGGAAACAGTTAAAAGGAGAAGCCACCTTACTTGTGGATTGTGCAATGCTAAATCCCTTTATTTAAATTTATTTATTTATTTACTAGGAATAAATTGGGTCATTTCACATACTTAAGAGGAACATGTGATATATGTACCTCTTACTTTAACCAAGTGTGAGGTCCATGCTGTAAATTATGGACCCATTCTTTTCTGCCTAGATTTATATCAGGTGAAGCACACAGGCTATATATCTGAGCAGAAAAATGAGGTTTTAAAAACTTACAGTATGGACTGAGGAAGTAATTTTAATAACTTATTAATTTTTTTAGGGCTCTAGTAAAGGAAGGGAATTTCACTTCAGACAAATCTTTTGATTTAGTGAGCCATACAGTGAAATATGGCCCACTAATGTGACCAATCATAGTGCCAAGTTAATACATGCCTCACCAGAACTCAGATATTTTAGTTATCCCTTTGTCTTGATAAATTAATTTCACTAATTAACGAGTTGCAGAGCTAAGTTTAACATTAACCACATTTTCCTTTTTCTTTACCACAACAGAATTGTTTCCAATAAATATAGTGTTTGTGTGCTAGCTGATTCACATGCTTTTGTTATTTCATAGGGATTTATTTGAGACATTTAAGGATGTTTATCTTGTCCAGGACAGAAGTGCGCCATTAGTAATACCTGATACCTTTGCACCCAAGGTATGATATTATCTTAACCCTTTAACTCCCAAGATCTCCCTAGTAATTCTCCTTACTGTCTGCCCAACAATTTTCATTATGTTAGTTTGGAGAATTTGGTATGGGATCAATTAGTAATCCCATAATTTATATTTTTCTTTATTCTCATTACTTGTCTGCATGATATTGTATAGATATTGTAAAGACAAAACTCTATCTTGGTCACTCACAGGAGTTAAAGCTGACTACTGCTACAGGCCACAAATTCCATTCCTTTGATGGTGTTATAACAATGTTTATGTAATGATATGGAGATAATTGTCTGTTTTTGCAATCTGTGCAGAATGATACTTTGTTTGTATGTGTTTATGTAATATTTGTGTGTTGTGTGTTTATTTGTGATGGAATATGTGGAGTGACATACCCACCTTACAATTTATATATATGAATATGTACTGGTAAATATATCTAAATGCATGCTGGCACTCACTTTTGTTAACCCCTTAATTCCCAAGATCCAAATGTCAATGCGATTCTTTTTCACTTTGGCGACCAAATCTCTGTTTCATCATATATTTCTCTGTTTGTTTCCAATTTGCTCTTGGATTTAGGAATTTGGTGATATATCCATCCTAGGATAAAAATCTTTTCCCTAACCTAATTTCTAGAATGATGACAGCTTAAAAAAAGGGACAAAATGCTTTATTTTTTTTGATGAATTTAGGAGCAGGATGTATGCAAAAAAAAAAATTAAAACCTTTGATTGGTGTTATTAAAAATTCTAACTATTTTTTTGGTGAGAAACAGCAGGATGTATGCAAGAAACCTTTGATGTTCATCTAAGAAGGAACAATAGCAGAAATTGTAAATTAAAGTAAAGATTAAAATTTGTGTAATAATGGTAGATTATTTGTTCTAGCAGGGATATCACTGAAATAGAAAAGGGGCACTTATTGTATTAAGGTTGCCAATATGTGTCAGGGGTGCTTATTAAAACAGTGCTTATAAACAAAAGCAAATTCAATAGGTGTTTATTAGGGAGGGGCTGCTTATTGGAACAAGGGGGCTAAATCAAATCATTATGGTGGTATAAAATCTATGTAAACTGCATGTTGTATCATATGTAATATGATAAGGGTTAAGTAAAGTTTATTGTTGTTGTTTTTGTTTATTTGTAGGTTTTAAAGTGGCTTGGGGGAAAACAGGAATTGCTAAAGGAGACAACTTTGCAGGTACTAATGGACAAACAAGATTTTAATATACTATTATAATAATTGCTAATAGTAATTGTGAAATCATTGAAAAATCAATCAAAATGAATGTCTATATTTTAAATTGGTGTGTAGAGATGACAGTTATTTAGATCACAGCCTATAAGTGCAAGACTCCAACAACTTGATCCACATGTATATCACCAGATCTAACTGAGTACATCAGTATGTATGTATGTTCTCCTTACTGTTCTCTATAAATTTTCTTGAGATGGTGACAAGGAGAAATTGTTTAACAATCAAAGGCTTCCTTTGTTTCATTTCATTTCTGTTATTCTCATGACCATAACGTGTGATTCATGGGTGATATTGTATGGAGAAATTAGATGCTAGTCACTCTTAGGAGTCAAAGGGTTGATTGTGTGAGGTTACCAAAAGGTTAAACAAAGATCCCTGAATCTGGAGGTCTGCTAACCACACATAAATCCAGTTTAGCTAAAGCTGATATTATTCTGCACTTGCCCAATAAAATATTGCAGCTCTTGCCATTGATGAGATTTTGAAATTCATTATTCCCAAACCTTATTGACATCAGTGTATTGGCTACTTATTTTTCAGCCAATTACATCAGTGGAAAACCTATATACTCAAGAGTCCACTGTGTTTAATCCTCTTCGTGCAAAACGGCCTGGTGCGGGAGGAGGGGCTACTGAGGAAACCAAGAAATAGTAAGTAAATCTAAGAGTGTGTAAATGGGAGTTGGTATGTTGTTGGGGCACATTAAGTTTGTGTCCATGCTTGTGTATTCAGGATGAAGACAGAGTATATTCTTGATGAATCTACTTTTTGTTTGGTTTACATTTGATGCTTTTCTAGATGATTTTGAAAAACATAGTTGGCTATCAACTAGAAATTGATGAAGATAGCCTGTGAGCAGGCTGTAACTCCCATGATCTGATAGTTAATTCTTGCTTCCAGCTGCTACACATTCTCTTGTAATGAAGTTATGAAAATTTTATTTTAGATCAAGATAACAACTTCTACCAAATAGAGTATTTGAATATTCTCATTACCTGTTTGCTGAATAATGTATGGATGTTATAGGGAGAAGCTACATGTTAATCACTTCTGGCAGTCAAAGGTTTAAGGGTTTTGCATGAAGCTTGTGACACATGAATGCTGCAGGACTAATAGGAGCCTTGTAGCTTACAATGAGGCTCCAAGTTCCCCTTTCAAAAAGTTGCCTTTTGGTCACAAAAAAGGAAAAAAAAAGAAATATCCATGGGAGGACACTTCATGATGCATCACTGGCATTTGTACATTTGTTCATTTGAATAAACATCAATAGATTTTTCTAATTTTTCTTTTTAAATCTGTTGGTCGCCACTTGGCGACTTTTGTCGAAATTTTAGTCACCAAATATATTTTTAACTCACCATGGCAACCAAAAGGGTCACAGCTGGGAGCGCTGCACAGTGATGGGTTGATAAACCATCTTTTGGTGAATTTAACAAGGTCTTATCTTGTGAATGAGACCTAAGTTTTTGCTTTTTAATTTTTTTAATGATTATTTATTTCCCTTTTTTAACTTCTGTATCATTCTTGATGTGTAATTAGGTGTTTAAAATTTTTGCCAGTGCAGCACAGAAATTTCTTTTGATAAAAGTAATGTTACCTTGCTTATATGAAGGATCTTTAGCTGATATATGTACATCTTTATTTCACATAGAAAATTACATGCATGATAAATGATTGAAGTTCATTACATTTTACAATCTTTTCAGTCTTGCAGAGTTGATTCAGTCTAGTGCTAAAGAATGTGACTTCTGTACTTATAAAGTGTAAGAACTTTTCTCACTTATAGAAATTATAAATTAAAAAATATATTTTTTCATCATTTGAAGTGTATAAGGGGTTATTATTATTGCAGATTTTGCCACCTGCCTTTTGATTATTCAGGGGGTGGTTTTTTATCACTATTGAAACAAGTTGTCAAACACCTGTGAAAAAATACTTCCTATTACAGGTTATTCATTTGATCTCAGATTAAAAAGGGGTGGATTTTTATTATTACTGACTATTCATGTAATCCCAGAGGTGTAATTCAAGCACAGAAATGATTCTTGCAGGTGGACTGCTATTATAGTTATTGATGAGATTCAAAACTGTATCTCCCAGATACTAGTTGGATGTTATTAGTATCTTGGAGTTGTCGAATCACGTGGAACCCTAAATTTTTTCAGGTGTCTTTTCAGCAATTGCAAGAATTACAGTCCACTTGCAGGGATCATTTCATTACTTTGCATGTTTGTCATTCCCAAGTTACAAAAGAAAAAAACGGAATTATTTCATTACAAGTTAGAGATATAATAAGATGATATCATATGACTCGTGACTCCAGATCCAACTGTATGACTTATTGTTTGTTTGTTTCTTTGAATGTTTTTCCAGAAATACTGCAAAGGATCCTTTTGAAAGTGTTGAGTCCAAACATTCACTCTCAGGTATAACCGTATGTTATATAGAGACACAAAATGATAAGTTCTTAGAATTAATATGATACGTACACCTAGAAATTCTTACAAGTGAGTGTCGTGTAGCGGTTAAATGAGGTTATAGACCAGCTTAGTGGGTATAAAAGAGTTTAAGGGGCTTTTTTCACCTTGAATTGATGATCGACTGGCGTGGAGAATCTCATGAGTTATAGCCGCGTGACAACGGACGGTTTGCACATGTGATTCTTGCCTCTTGTGCACGGGAATGGTGATAATCGGCTAACGTCGAGCATGCGTACGTGGATACATTTGGGCCGCCCGCGCACCAATTTCCCGCGCTAAATTTCAGAGGGAAACCCAAGAAACAACCGCTGACACGCTTGATTTATAATTTTGTTTTGAGCATGTCGAAAATGTTTTATGCTTCACTGTGTGATAAGTAGTTGGGGCTAATTAACGAAATGGTGCATCACATTTATGCGGTCAATAACGCGGGCGTGAGCGAAATTCGCGAAGAAATAAGGAACTGGCATTTAAAACTGAGGCATTATGTCGTGAAGGCAATTTTCTTATTTCCAGTGCTTTAAGGAGAAAATTAATTTTGTGAAAATATTCAGGGTGTGTACAAAGTTTCTGGAAGTTGTTATGTAAAAGAAAAGCGGTAAGAGAAACAATACTTGGAAGCAACAGAACGGAAAATCAAACATACAAACGACACAAAATCCGTTTTCCGCGCCAAAGCCAAGCCGCACACGCAGACGTTATTCAGCTCTGTAGCTCTGTCATAAATTGGTTTTTACAGCCTGAAAGAGTGAAAGTTAGCCTCCAATCTAGACACAGCGGCAAAATGAGTGCCCATGCTTTCAACCAGCGAGAAATTTACGCGTGATAAGGAATAGGACTAACAATATTTCCATAGTAACACTATTGAGGCAAAATGGCGGCATTTTAAAATTTCAGTTGCTTGTTTTCATTTCGCGGGAACAAGGCCAAATCAAAACAGATAAGGTTGCAGTTTTCAGGAAAGTTTCTCGTACCACATTCGTCATATATTTCACCCAAAGAAAAACGTTTTTTGGTGACAGGTGTGAATTTAGTGACTGAAGTTGAGCAGCCTTTAACATGGTTCCTAGCACCTGTTGTCGTTTTGGTTCTTCTTGTCATCGCCTCCTCACTAGATAAACCCCACCCCACCCCCCAACCCCCCGGAGAAAAACGTTTGTTGTTTCGGTGGAAAAAGCCGCGTCAGCTCATTTTTGCTGAAAAAAATCGTAGCTCTGAACGCTTTGATGGCTCGAGTAGCGGAGCATGCGTACTCAACAACGAACCGACGCCATTTATTCTATTCCTTGCAATGACCGTGACAACGAATACATCGGACAGACCAAACGTCAGTTTGGTACATGTTTGAAAGAGCATCAAAAAGCGGTTTTCTTTTGCAAAAAAGAATATTCAGCTTTATCGGAGCACGCATGCCTAACTAACCATATAGTTGGTAGGGATAAGTCTAAATTTATCACCACTAATCGGCGTTACCACCAGCGCCTTTGTTTGGAAGCTTGGCCTATTAACTCCGTCGTGTCGAAACGTTGGGTCTACGAATTGTAACTTCTTCGGTTACATTCATTAAATCTGTAAACCAGAGTAGTATCAAACCATGTCAGAGGAATATTAAATCTGCCTTAGAGGGCTTTTCGATTGAGTGTCCCATAACCTAAAGTGTAGAATTCACAAAGGCCAGTTAGAACACACAACACACTGAATCAAAAGGAATCAAACAGATCTCAAAATAATAATAAGCAAACTCTTTCGAGCGCGGGAAAACGCGGATTTCCAATCGGCGGTTGGATTTAGTTTTGCATCTGATTAGCTGAGAGGGTGGCAGACCAAAGTAAGATCGAAGATAACTGGAACTAATGTAATCTCCGTTTACTTTTGACACTCAATCGATATTTGCTCTGAAATCGGCTCGGCTCTTTTCATGTTATTTTTTTCGTCTGTTGCAGTTTCCAACACATTTAAAGTAGAGAAGTTCCACAGTCTTATCATTTGGAGGCGGCATAATCCACTAGAAATAAATGAAGAAGAAGTAAGTAGAACGAAATGAAACTTCACCTTTCTGTTTTGTTTTTTCGCGAGAAATTTGTAGCGTGCCTTTTATAACTTCGTCGGTTACTTCAATTTTACCACGTAACGTCTTTTCATGCCTGTTCCCCCAGATTTGATTTTAAAACTTGTAATTTTTTCCCTGCATTATCAGCACTCTCTCTAGAAGATGCATGAGGAGGATAAAACGAACTTATCTTTTACAGGGTTTTGTCATAATAGACACCTATGTCTCCTGGCTATTTGCTACAAGGAAATGTACGCAGCCAAGGAGGGATGATTTCTGATTAGATTTTGTGAGTCTTCAGCTGCTTGAGAGCTTGGAGAACTGAGTCATTCTAAAAGAAATCGAGGGTATAGAATCTTTTCGGAAGGAAAGCTAGACAGACTAATGACATCATTGCCCATATAATTTGGCCGCCAAAACAACCAGTTACTTTGAGTTCCTTACTATAGTTTGGTGAATTCTCGCGAGGCGTAAATGTTACAGCTACTTGAATTCTGACACATGAATTTTTTACTCAGTAACACAGTGGTATACTAAAAAAAAAAGAATAATAATAAGAAAACGTATAGAGGAAAAAAAGAGGAAATTAATTTAAAAGTCGACAGAATGATTTCAATGGAATCATTCTTATCGGCGAAATTTATTTCCAGGTGTTTTGTATGGGCTGCAGAATATTCCTCCATTACATGTCTCTGAAAAGTCAGTTTAATATTTTTCTCAGCTGATTGAAACAGCTTCTGACCGAAAGAAACTTATGCCCCATTCAAATCAACGGAACATGTTTATAGTTAAACCGGGTTTAGCTGCATGAAAATCCGAAACAGAGAACTAAAAAGTCGAATTTTCTATAGGATTCAAGTAGTCACTAAGTGTATTTCAATTTGCTAAATTTAAAGTCGACATTCACCGGTTTAAGTGGCTTCTATGAAGAAAGAAAAATTCAGCTGTGTGTAACAGAATAGCTTCAAAATATTTTTAAGCTTTGATGTGAATGAGGTATAAGACACATTTGTTAGCAAATGATTCTGATGTTAATTTCCTGTGTCTGAGTGATTTCAATTATTAGTGTCCATTTCCTCACTTCTTTCTGCTCAACGTTGTTCTCAAAGCTTTTCGATATTTCGGCAGCCGCCAAGCGAATAGAAACGGGTCCAAAAAAAACTTCAAGTAGAGAGTGTTGTCCGCGATAACTCGAACCACAAAAAGAGTGTGGCTTTTTTTAGTGTCTTCATCAGCGTACAAATATATATACCACAGTATAGCGGTCGGCTGCGAGCACAGCAATAGTATCACAATGAGAAGAAGATTTAGTCGCACGAAATTCCTTTCGATCATTGGTTTTGATTTCCGTCTCTGTTTCCGAGGGTGAACTTCGTGCGTTGTGGACATGCTTACTGAATTTGTGGTATGCAGGGTAGCGGATCTTGCCGTCATTTGTTTGCGGAAGGCTTTCTGAAGTAAAGCGTAAGTTATGATGGTGAATAACAGTGATAATGTTGAGTGGATGTACAAGTCGAGTTTTTCCAGCAACTCTTTAGGGACTCCTACGGTTCGAGACATCTCGAAGACGGTTGAATATAGCCAGATACACGCCACGCAAACTAACGTCTTTCGAACGCTGATAAAACGCTTGTACTTGAGCGGAAATGCAACGGCCACATACTGCGCGAAAGTGAACGCCATGACTATCAAAAATGAAGAATTAGTGGTAATAGCGGCAATGATACCAGCAATGTTAAAGATCTTTTCACAGCGTTCCACTTTGGAATGTCGATGATAGTGCATAAAATAGCAGCTTGTAACCACTGGTTCTGGAACAAGACCTGTTGCCAAATCTGTGATCGCAAGACCCACGAGGAACCACGCGGTCGGCGTGCGGAACGTGTTAAATGGATCCTTGTATATTGCTATCAAAAGCATTACATTAGCAAGGACGGTTAACGGACATATCACGGCTAAAAATGAACCAGACACCAAGAAAACTGTACCCAGGTTTGGCTGATCGATATCAGTGGCATTAAATGTTGAATTCATCCTTCTGTTCGTGTTCAACAGATTTTCCTCACCCCGTCTCGGTATTTCTTGTCAACCTTGTCTTAGGATTTTTTTGCTTTACGCTACTCTTTGTTTCCTCATTCAGTCTTTACATCTGTCTGGACGATTCCGTGTCAATCTTTTGATTTTGGATTCGTCTGGTGATTCGACGTGCGGTGTTGTTGATGGCGCGATATCAAAGGCTTGTTGCCTCCCTGCATGCGGTAGTCGTCAAAACATGTTGTTAACAAAGGTAACCAATGTTCCTTAAGATCAAATCCGTCGATCTCAGTGCTGGATTATGAGTTAACAATGCGTATTGTGTCTTAAGATGTGCGCCTTTTTGAGAAAAAGAATGCGATTTAAATACTCTTAGAAACTGTATCTCGGTGCGATGAAATATATATCGGACGAACCGTTCCCTAGATACTTTAACCAACCTCTGAAACGTTCTATTTTTTTTTGTTTGGTCGCATGTTATTTCTTGTCGCGGTGTATTCTTCAACCTTGCGTCATGTCGCGGTGTATTCGTCAAACATTTGGTGATCAATTTGTTGTCTCTGATACCTCTCGCTCTCAGCAGTTTGCTCAAGACACTTTTTTCAGTTGTTGTCATCGGTATTAGCTCGCAAAATTATGTGGTTTTCAAGGGATGCACCTGTTGTATATTTACATGGCATACAATGCAAGCTTCTCCTATTTTCCTTGTGGTGTTTTAATAGTGATTTTCAAATGATCAACTCAACAAAGGAGGAAATAAGTAGATTTTGGGCTAGTGTCACTTTTGAAGTCTTTGCTTTCATCTCAATTTTTTCGTGGTCGCGCAGATTAACAGCTTGAACTCTGGTTCCCTCCCGCCGTTTTTAATTGGTACTCCGCTTCCAAAGTGCGTTCCTTTTTCATGCAGTATGAATGACCAGAGAAAAGTTTCATTAATTTAAACTGTTAAAAAATTTCCATTTTTAAGTGATCCAACTAATTTCCATTCAGTTATGTGCTGGAAATTGATTAAGTGAAGAAAGCAATAAGTGAAAGAAAGTCCTAGTTTTTTCATTTAATATTTGATATCGGCCAAATTGCCTAAATTATTGTCCTCAATTTTACAGAGGCTTATTTCGCGGTTTTCAAAATTAAACTTTGAAATCGCTCTTACAAACGTCAAATAAGTTCGAGTAAGATTTTTCAATTTTAATTTCGATTTTTTTACTAAGGCTGAGTGGGTTTTGTGGGCGTTTTACAAAATTGTTGTGCGGTTTAATTATGAGGTGAAAATTGTTTGAATTGAAGCGTTTGTGTCGCACTATTGTGTAAATGTCGCACACCTAATGGGAGAGAACGTCATTGTTCATGTTTCAAAAGTTGCTCAGACATTCTCGCCTTTTACTCGAACGAGTTTCAATGATGATCGCGCATAGCAACTGTTGCTGCTTTGATAAAATGTTCGACAGTTCGGTTTTGTATTTCGGTCCTCGCATATACGGCGACCGTTTGCATATTATACGGTTGTTATTTAATCATACGATTCGTATCTGTCAAAACCATAATTTGCTAGTTGTCCGATTAGAATTAAAATGCAATATGTTTTGTTTGCTTGTACTTGCGGAGAGAACTTTTTATTATTTCTCCGTCAGAACATGACTTTGAGAACGTGATTTCAAATGTTCAGAAATTAATCTCCAAGAAATTATTGTAGACACTAAAGGTTGATGCCAAACTGTTTCTTTGAGATATATTGCGGTTTTTGTTTGTTAAAAAATTGAAACACAATTGAAAACTTTCGGTAAGAATTTCGGACGATTTATCTGGTGTACAACAAAATTGTAATCGTGCTGAAAAATTGTTAGAAATAAAAATTTCGATTTTTTATGGCAAATTTGTATTCTGGTGTTATTATTCAGACCAGCTTTTAATATGCAATACTAATTCGAATATCAAATTCTTTAAAAAGACAGGGGCATAGTATTTATTGTTAATTTTGCTTGGAGATGATTTGAGTAGTAATTTTTTTTCCTTTTTTTGACACACTTCTTTAAACAAAAACATTCCTCGTGAGTATTCTGGAAATGCCGATTTTGTCTATCCGATTAAATCACAAACGATATTTATCTTAGTTGACGGCTGATTTTTTTTTTATCATACAGCTTCTTGATGCTATGGAAACTGCGCAGAAGTGGTAAGCAAATGAATTCCTTTTTCATTTGTATTTAACCCCCCCAAGATTAGTATGCATATTCTCCTTACTAGTCTATATCCATTCCCTTTGGTACAAACGAGGGGAATTTGTTCAACAGTTAAAAGCCTCTCTCGTTGGTGATCATTTCTCTTATTCTCATGGCATTAATGTGTGATTCAACAGTGATACTGTGAGGATAATTAAGATGCCAATCACTTTTAAGGGATTAGAAGGTTAATTTTGACACCAGTTTCATGAGTGGCTCGCATTTCTTATAATTTTTGAACGTAAACTTTTTTCTAGAATAACAAAGTGCGAGAGCTTATCTTGTTACAAATGCAATGGTCTGCTATGACAAAGTGCGACAGCTTGTTCACCGCAATGCGCGACAAGTGTTATTACAAAGTGTGACAAGTGTTATTACAAAGCGCGACAGCTTGTTCACTGCAATGTGCGACAAGTGTTATTACAAAGTGTGACAAGTGTTATTACAAAGTGTGCCAAGTGTTATTACAAAATGTGACAAGTGTTATTACAAAATATGACAAGTGTTATCACAAAGTGTGACAAGTGTTATTACAAAGTGCGACAGGAAGCTTTCCCACCTCCCTTTATTCCTGATTCCAGAATTCATCTTCTTTGCGTTGAATTTCTTTCAGGTTTCACCGAGCGCATCAGTACGACGAGCAATACACAATCCCCCACATTTACTTGGACATTCTGCCGAGAGCAAGTGCTAGTCAAGTCCATCCTCACTTCCACGTGGCTTTGGCACGTGACCATTACTACGGTGAGTATGGTGACCACTTATTTCAATTAATTCTCTTAACTACCTAACAAGCAAGTGGCAATCAACCAGACAGGCAAATAGTCCATTTTACAGTTGTGTACTTGGTTGCCAAGCCTTTGAACAGGAATGAGGCTAAGGGTGACCTTGTTGTGATACAAACCTTGTTGCTTTTCAAATGCAAATTACTTTGTTATCATGCCAACTAGATACTAGTCTCTATCACAACAAGGTCACCCTCAGCCTCACTCCAAATCAAAGGCTTGGCAACTAAGTACACAACTGTAAAATGGCCCATTGCTCATATGATTATTTTGCATGTTCTTCAGCTAGGTGGGCCCATTTCCAAGTGTCCGCCATGAAATATTCTGCGAATCATGATGGAGAAAACTATTTCTCAGCTTTGAATAGAGTAAGTAGGAATCTTCGCTGGGATTATCGATCATTTATTTTAAGTATATACTACACAAGTGAGTAGTGCTTTTCGCGTGCTCTTATTGGCTAGTTCGGAAGTGAAGAGCGAGTACTTTTCAATTCCGAGCAGCCGATGAGGCAAAATCGCGCGTCAAGAGTTTAATTTTTCGGTATCTGTGTGGTATATACTAAAATAATTATTTACCTCAGTATCGGTGAAAATGGTAGATCTTTACCTCCACGTGGGTAAGCTATTGTTAAATATTAGCTACTCAGTATAAAATTTACGCGCAGTGACGTTTCTTATACGTTCATTCACTGTTCAGACGGCAAAAAAAGCTAATGCTATCAAACGTTCCTGTAACCTTTTACACCAGTACATCTGCATGTATATTTTCCATTCTGTTCTTTGTACATTTCTCATAAGACTTACAAGAACTTTCAATTTGAACCATTCTACATATTTAACGAGAAGTTTTTATTCTCCGTGGCCTTGTAGATCCACAGTGCGTTGGGTCTTTCTGTTCAGTACGGCAATGCCAGTGTTATAGCATCCGTGGTAAGTGTTTTCTTTGTTGTCTTTGACCTTGTCTGTTTAGTGAAGCATTGTTCACCAGGGACACTTCGTTACCGTCGACGCTCGTACACCCATTGATAAGGGTCCCCAGTAATTGCGGGGACCCCGCTGATAGAGACCCCACCATTACGACCCCCTAATTCATCTCCTCTGATCAGCCGATATTAAAATTGGGAACCAAACTTCTGGCCTCCCGTTCTGTTTTGGGAGTAACCTTTTTTTAATATTGTCCCCTTTGGGGATCGGCTCTTCCTCAAATACTGGGTTCCTTACTGTGACATTCTTTCCGCCCTTCGAAAAGAGAGGAACAGTTATGCTCCAAAAATATAGTTTGAACAGTTACTTGAATCCTGTGACACCGTTTTCTAGGGGACACTTTTCCTAGTCTCAAGGGTGTACCCCGATTTAGATGTTCCACAGTAACTTTATAATCAACGCTATATTTAAAGATTTTCTATTTTATTTCTTTCCCAGACTCCTGCCGCGCCCTATGAAATTTACCTGTTCAGTAAGACACCTTGTAAAGATCTCTTCCAGCTTCTCTACTACTCTATCGCCGGTAAGTTGGTGTTTCTCCAGCGCAGAAATGTCTTGTAGTCTTTTAATGATGTGAATAAATGACGAAGGAATGTTTTTTTCTTATTTACAGCTCTAAGGGATGACATGGAATTGTACGCCATGAGTGCAGGAATGGTATTCCCAAAATTGGTAAGAGTCAGAACCATACAAAAAAGTTAGAACGCATCGCCGAACGGTTAGAGCGACAGCCAGACAGACGAACTCACGGATAGACAGATAGACAGACAGACAGACAGACTGACCGAAAGACAGACAGGCAGACGGAGAGACAGACAGTCAGACGGAGAGACAGAGAGTGCGATAGATAGTCAGATGAGAGAATATACAGCCAGACAGACTGACTGAAAGAGAGACAGTCACAGGGAGAGACAGACGGTCCGACGGAGAGACAGAGAGATAGCGACAGATAGTCAGATGGAAGGACAGACAGACAGAAAGACAGACAAAGAGCTACAGATGGACAAACACACGGACGGACTAAAATAAAAATTTCCTATTCTTCTGACGTTAACTTTTTTATCGTCATTTCAGGGGCCGTTAACTGACCAAAGTGATTTACCCGCAATCATAAGACTCGTGTATCGCGGACCTGCGGAAGCGTAAGAACACTTGTTGATACCCGTTTTATTTTATAGCTCGTTTCTTTTTCAATGATAGCATCCTAGTTTAGCATCAGGATTTAGTTTAGAGACCAATTGACATTTTCCTTAGCCTTTTCATAGAATGTATAAATATGACACTACCCGCGTTTTGATATTGCATGGAGCTGCTTAAGCTTCCAAACGTTGTCCTTAAATTTGCCTAAAATTCCTCAACGGGCGTCGGCCATTTTGAAACGCGCTGAGCATTCCAGTCACTCACCTTTGAAGTATCAAGTTCTTTTTTTTTTTCATCTCCCAACGATTCCGGAAGTGAATACCTTATAACCTCTTGTCCATGCTTCATATTGAAGTCTTGATGGCCAGGAGGCCCACAATTACTGGTGGGAGACTGGGGATGATTGACTAACCTTTCATTTTATTTCATAGGAGACGAGCGGATATCGATTCCCTCATGTTATTCGGGGTAAGTTGATGTTTTTCTTTTTTTCTTCTTTAATTTGCTTCATTTGTCTTTCCCTTTCCATTTAATAGGCTTTTTCAACATTAAACTAACTCTTGTTATGTTTTTTTTTCCTTTCCAGACTGTAAACGTTAATGTCGATCCTTACACGGTGATTAAAAGCATCAAACAATCTATAGCCAAGCGAAGGCCAAAACCTGGGTAGAAAAGTGTCGCAGTGGCCATCATTTGGGACCCTACCGTTTCGAAATTTTGCGAAAGGTATTCAAAGGGAGCAATGAATTATGGGTACTAAACCTCAGTTTCCACGATGCAAGTGTCGATGGGTGGAATAAAAAAGCGATGCTAAACAAGCTTTTTATGAATTTGCTTTACTTTCACGAGAAACAACCTCGCAGCAGAGCAAAATGGGATCGTAGTTCGATTTAATGTGATTCAGACTTGTCATCAACTGATAAATATTTTAGTATTTAATTTTATTTCTTATATGTTTCTTCATCATAAGGTAGAGAGCTTATTATTTGAAGAACGTTATTTCTGTGCTGTAATTGACAGGAATGGATTGTAAATGTGTTTCAGCATTGCATACAAGTTAACATATTTATGAACTCTAATTGTCAATAACTTTTTGTAAAGGTTGACTTTGTATTGCTATGACAACATTGCAGACTTATTTATTATCACAGATATAAATTGTAGCCAAGAGATTAAATTATTAGTCAGTTGAGCAATGGATAAATCGGTCAATCAGTCACTCAATTCATTTATAAAGAGGGTAAGTTTCTAAAGAAACTGTGATGCTGCGTGGGTGATGGGAGTTTAACGGGATAATTTTGCGGGTTTTATCAACTGGGTTTGAATGAAAATTGGCCACTGCAAAGAGTTTCAAAGCTGACGTTTCGAGCGTTAGCCCTTCGTCAGAGCGTTAGCTCTTTGCTCTAACGAAAGACGAGCGTACGAAACGTCAGCTTTAGAAACTCTTTACAATGCAAAGGATATATTATCAATTCAATTGATAAAACCAATTAACTTGTATTACCCCCTCCACCCCCGACGCAATATCACAGTTTCTCCCCCCCCCTTTTTTTTAATTTTAATTTTCATCGAGTTTGTTTGTGAACTATACATAGACACGCGTTAGTCTCAATGAACTTTAAATTGGTTTTATGAGATTTTATCGGCGGTACTATCCTTAAACGGGTATGAGAACAGTTTTCTTAACACTGATATGAATATTAACCCTTTCTTCCCCAAGATCTCGTTAGCAATTCTCCTTACTGTCTACCGTTCTATTCTCATAGTGATTGTTTGGATAATTTGGTACGAGATCAGCTAAAAATCCCCTAACTGATATCTGTATTTACTCTCATCAGTTGTCTGCTTGATATTGTATTGTTACTGTAAGGAGAAATTCTGTCCTGGTCACTCATAGGAGTTAAAGGTTTAAACAGGGACAAGTTTGAAAGATGGCGTATTCAGCGAATGACACTGACATACTCGTAGAAAAAGAACTCTCCGAATTGTGTTTCGGATGCTCTACCTCTGAAGTAAAGGAGACTCGAAGCAGGCTAGGCCGTATAACTTGGTCTATTGTGACAAACTTGCTGCATATTTCTAGGATAGGTATATCGTATGTGGTGCTTTTGCTTAATAATTATGTTAATGAAGATAGTAAATGCTAAGCCTGGCAATTTAATCGAAAGATGATCATTATCTTTCACTTCAATTAACATGTTACAAAGCTTTATTCACTTGTTGATACCCAATCGCAGACGGCATAGCTTTAAAACCGGTTTTTCTTTCTCCAACATATGATTACAAGAGTTCATAATCTCTTGGTGATAAGTGTTGGTGTGGCGATAAGGACCGGCAAATGAAATATCGAGTATCGAAGACGATCTTTGCTCTGTAGGTTCTTTGGATTCGCGCGTCTGTGCAAACTTGACCTACAAGATTCTTATTTCCTTGTGAAAGACTTTACGAAGTCTTATCTCTCAACGTGGAAGGGAGGGGTGGGTCATGGACAACCTAGCCCCCTCCCCCAAGTTACGAACCGGTAAGGAGAGGAGTGTTTAATCATAATCGGCGTTACTACCTCTGAGTGCCAAGTTTTGCATAGTTATTGAAGAAACCGCGCTTACTTTGTGTCTTAAAGAACAAAATTGCAGCATCATTCGAATACATCGCCTTAAGTCGCTATTTCGCCAGCAATAAATCAGCGGATTAAGCGCGGAGTTGCTGAATACGAAGCAATCAGTGACTGGAAAAACGTAGTAATGAAATATTTTGTCGTCGAAGAACTTGACAGCTACCAAAGATATCAGTAGCGGAGAGTAACAGGTTAATACGGCTCCCACGATGTACGCAGTTGTTTTTGTTATTTTGCTTTCTCTTGCAATCATTGAAGATTGTGCCATCAACATACGGCTTATTTGGAAATGGTGACGACGAGCTAATCTAAAGATGCGAATGTACACAAAAATAATAAAGGTGACGAACGTGATGATAAACGAAATCGCTGCTGTGTAGTATTGCGCTGTGCTGAGACCGAAAAAGCGAGAGATCACAAATATTGCCCATGATGCAACGAAGACCCCAGTGAAGATCACAAGTCTTGGAACTGTGATAATTTCTTTGTACTTGAACGTGTAGAACAGCGCGATATATCTTTCGCACGCGATGAAAAAGAGAATAAGAAAAGATGTCCCTATCGAAAGATGCCATAATACCCTGTAACAAAGCATTACCCAGCAGTGGTAGCGTTCTTGCAGCTCCAAATATCGTCGGAGGGTATACAGCGGTTGAACGGCGAAGGCTACACAAAAATCGCTCATGGATAGGAGTAAGAGGAGGGTGTTGGAAGCTCTAACGCGCAATTCGCGATGTTTCAGTATCGCTGTGCAGACGAGACCGTTGGCAACCAATGCAACTCCGAATAGAATTCCATTCCAAACAGACACTATGACTGATAGAGTTATCAAAGACTTTGTTTTTTCAATCTTGTGGTATGTCAGGAACAAACATTGTATTAAAGTGTCATTCGTCATGAAGCTGGGTTTTCTTGCGATAGATCTCTTCCTTCTTGTCGCTTCAAAAATCTTCCTCTTATAAATTACCTAAGAATTCGTTTTCCTTCGAAAGCAGATTGCAGACAAATTAGTTGTCACTGTAAAGGATTTTCCAGTGGTTTTGTAAGAGTGGTTTGTTAAGAATTTTGTTTCTTGTCTATCGGCAATTCGTTTTCCTTCGTACGCAGTTTGTAGCCGAACTGGTTGCCGAAATTAAGGCTTTTCTCTTGGTTGAGTCAGCTTTGTTTGCAGACAAACCGGTCGCCACAATGAAGGCTTTAGTTGTGGTTGAGTCAGCTTTGTTTGCGAAAAATAATTTCCTTATTGTATTAGACTTTTTATTTCAAGAACTTGCCTACTCTGAGTTGGTGTAGCTGTTTCCTTTTTTCTTTATAATTCTTCAGGGCCTCTAAACCTTATTCTGTTCCTTGAACACCGTGAAAAGATTAAATATTTTCTAAACTTACTCCACAACCTGATGAAAGCTGTTTTGCCTCCGCAATCCTTTTCGTTGGTGTCTTGATCACGCTGCAGATATGACCGTCACTCGCTTTAACCGTCAAATCGAGGAATATTTTGTCATCTGCTGCCTCGAAGGCCTAAAGTGAGAGAATAAATAGGCCTTTGGGTTGACAGGGGGAAGCTGTAAGTCAAATGAGCCTTGAGGCCATAATCTCTGTGAGAGCTGAGAAAAGGAAATAAATTATGTTTGCACCTGTTTACCGTGGCATTTATTGACGTTGCGAGATCAATAGGAATGATATTTCTTTAAAGGCGTGCACTCAACGTTTCCAAAAGACTACTTCCTATATGTGAGATTTAATATTCAATCTGTTAAGACACAAGAAGTCACCAACAGCAAGTTTATTTGGACTCTATAATTAGGTTTCCAATGTTGTTTGGCTAAAAACATCCGAACAATTGATTCAGGAGGTAATAACCGCTCTGCGGTAATTACAAAATGTTTCCTTGGGATCTGATCAGTATTGACTTGAATGAAAGTGTTGATGCAATATCATCATAACTATTCTCAAAAACAAGGACAATTGAACTGAGGCCATTTTACATAAAATTTTAATTTTTTTGCCCAAAAAACATAAATTTACCACGAAACCTTTGCATTACTTTATATCGTTTTAAAACCTGAAAAATATAATTCATATCTTTTATTTCTGTTTACATTAGAAGCGAGTGTAGTCAAAGGAAAAACAAGATAAGAGACGACTGTTTGTTCAGTTCGATTAACGGGGGTCGAATTCCGAAAAAAAAATTTTACTCTGTTCAAAATTTTCCCAAAAACTGGTGTAGTTCATGGCTGTAAAGAGCGTCACGGTATGTTTAGAAATAAATATTTGAAAACGTTTTTTGGCGAAAGAAATAAAAATAATCTACTTTATCTCTTTATCTCTCAAGGAACTGCCACTTCAAACCTCTCATGGATTTTCCTAGTATGAGATAAAAGGGCAGAAGCGACTCTTTTTTATCAAGTTATTTGCGTATAATTTTGAAGTTTCTGTCTTCCTAGCCAAACGTAAATAGGCTGGGTAAATTTCATTTTAAAACGTTTAGCACAAGTTCCAGTGGACGGTATATTTATCTGTCTGGATTATTAAATGGCAGCTCTTTGTCTGAGCGAGACAGTGTTTGCGTTGCTAAATTACCAAGGAGACGAAAAAAATAAAAAAAAAAAAAAAAAATAAGCTTAGCCCGATTTATGGGGTCTTTCCGAGTTAAGTTCGGGATACACACCGTCGCATTACCATCGGAATAAACAGTGTCGCGTTACGTTGGGAATACACACTGTTGCGTTACCATCCGGATAAACTGTACTTTCACGATTTGCTCGGAATACCCACTGTCGCGCTATGTTCAGGATACAAACTGTTGCGTTGCCATTTGGATACACTGCACTTTCACGCGTAATACACACTGTCGCGTTACGTTAGGGATTCACACTGTCGCGTTATCTTCGGAATGCACACTATCGCATTAAGTTCGGGTTCGCTGTCAAGTTACGTTCGAGAAACACGCTTACGAGTTACAATCGGAATACGCTCTGTCGCAGGTTGTGGGTTTCGAGGTAACGGAGCCTAAGTCGTCTAATTTCTTCCACATTTCATCCCCTTCGGACGATTTCCATAGACTGCACTCCCAGTTGGATTGATCTTTTTTGAAAATTAAACGTCACAAATATTTTTATTTTTCTAAGTCTATATATGACTATATAACTGTTTTATGACGCGCGATAACGTTGACAACAAATAGAAAATAATATTTGTGCCTGAAAATTAGTTTATGCTTATAAATCATCTATCTCCCACGAGTATTAACAACTTAGTTCAGCCTTATAAATAAGAGGCAGTTTTTTGGTATAAAACTGAATTACATGGTGAAGTCACTACTTCATCGGTTGTTATCGATCGGCCAAGCATGGAAAAACGCCATCTTCTGTTCCTCTTTGCTTATCAATTTTTGACGACCCAATGATTCTCGGGAGCTAAACGTTTATTCTCTTAACTGAACTGAGAATTTTGTATTCTGTCTAAACAAAGTACTGGAGTTGATGATCATCAATCTTTCAAAACTTTAAGGAGTATTTATTATGTAATAACCGCTAGTAATTAAGTTGACGTGTTATTAATCTAGACGACAAGCGCAAGGGGTGAATAGGCTTGTGCGACAGTTTTCAGCTCACCCCTCCCTTGTGGGGAGGACCGTCCATAAGCTACTTCCATGTATGAACTTGACCACGTGTAAAAATTGCGAGAGCGAGAAACTGTTTATGAGAGAATAAACCGATTGTTTACAGTGAGATTAAAACGGAGAAAAACACAACGTGTCGTCTCGCTAAGAGTATATCTAAGTGTACCCGTCAGTCTAAATAGATGCCGCAAGAGTGAACGGTTAATATTCTATATAGCACTCTTAAAGTCGTTGAACAAATCAAATTCCTGTCTATTATCATTGTCTGGATCTTCGCCGCTATCTTTCAGGCGCTTTGCAAGAATTTCCCATTGTGGAATTCGGAAACCCTGCGACAGCTTCTCTTTATCGGATGGCTCATAGTATAGATCTGCCAATGTTCCTACGCGCTCCCCAAAACAAGAATTCCCTGGGGTACGCACTTTAGCTTGGAAAACCAGATTCTCCCCGATGTACCTGATCTCCAGGGTCGACTTTGTAGGACCGGGAAGAACACTGGAAAGTAAAAAATTTTGGTAGCTGGTGATGGTAACGCTATAAGTGACAGTGGTACCAAATATTGGATTAACTTGCTTCACGCGAAATTTTCCAACAAACGGCTCCGGAGAAAAAGGAAAGTGGGACTTACGCTGCAATTTAAAAAGAGTTTCGTTAAGTCTTGGAGCAAGGAGGTTGTAAAACGACACAGGGGCTTGAAACCCGATTGGCTGACCGTAATATATGGTGCTTCTCAGAATATTTGCCCCGAGAGCCAGCTCAGGAATAACTGTGAGCAACGCGCTGTAAGTGTCAATGTTGCCACCTTTGGTGCGGATCAAGAAATGTTCACTGAAGAACATTTCAAAAGGGGATCCCCATACTGTCACTCCGTCCGGGGTGATGTCCTTGGGAGTCATCATCTCTCGAAGAGAAGCAGGTTTGAACAGTTTCTGTTTTTCAGGTTGAGCAAACATCATTCCTAACTTAGCGAGATCCTCAATGGTAGAGTACATCGCCCCTGCCGGGTTGATCCACCCTAAGTTCATAAACTTCATTCGCTGTCCATCGGGTAGATAAGGGAACGCCATGTTTTTCTCCACTTCTTCTGTGATTTCAAAGCCAGTATTTGCCATTCCAAGGGGTTTGAGAATGTTTTCTTTTGTCCAGTTCTCGAATGTTTCGTTGAGTAAGTTTTCAGTAAGAAGCCTACCCAGCAACGCGTAACCAAGGTTACTATACGAAGGCTCCGTCCAAGGAGGAAGAACTAACGTGCGGTTTCTTAGCAACGCAAGCTGCTCACGTGACGTTGTATTTGAGCACTGATATATACATGGAGCCTCCCGCGGTAATCCAGACATTTGACTCGCGATTTCGCGTAGCGTAATGTTTTCATTTGTAAAAGGGTTGTGAATAAAGAAATTAGGAGCGTACTTACTCAACGGGTCGTCAATGGAAACAATTTTTCCTTCCTCGTACAATTTGTACACTAAGAGGACAGCAAAGATCTTGGTGACGCTTCCAATCCGATAAACAGTGCTGTCATTTGGTTTCAATGTCGGTTGTTTATACACCTTGCTTCCGTAATGGCCGCTCCAAAGTATCTTATCTCGGTAGAATACGTTCATAGAAATGGCTGGTAGCGACGAAGTCTCGTCAACTGTAACATTAAGAATCGACTCAAGCTTCTCAAAGACTTCCGTGATTCGCTTTGGAGTCTCCTTGGGCAGAGGAAATAACGTAGGTAGCTGGGGGCACGCCGTTGTAACATCGGTGCTTGCATTTTGTTTGTCGCCAGCCTTCTCCGCAGTTGTGTGTGCGAGTACGTACCAAACAAAAACCGCTGCAATAGTTATGGCTACCAGACTTGACAGTAAAGTTAACAATTTCCAGAGTCTCAGGCCTCTGAAAGGTAGTTTCTCCCCTGAGAACGTAGTGTAAGGATTATTCGTTTCATCTGCCATGTTGCAAATGGCAAAGAATAATAGAACTTGTCTGGCGTCAACTGTCAGTTTTGGATGATTGAATATTAATGTGTCACGCGATTACTTTTGATATTTTTACGCAATATAATTTTTTTCAGCTGACAAGTATGGAGAATTTGAGGTGAACCTGGGGTGATAAACATGGTAAACCGACGCATTTTTCTATAGACTTTGCATTTGGTTTACTTGGCGACACACATTTTTCGGAGAGACCTCACAATAACGATACACCACTGAAGATTCGATTGAATCATTGAACGTTTGTCTCAGTCACATTCCCTGACGATGTCGTAATGAAATCGGCGAAAGCTTGGGGTTAAAAATAAATATGTTTGCTCAAGGCATCGATCGAATCGTTCATCTTAATCAACATGCTACTGAAGGATTAGTTCAAACGTTTACCAGATAACTACGTCGGGTGGGAATTGTTGTGTAAACAAGCATAATTAAATTCGCCATGCATGGCTGGTTTGCATTTTAAAGTTCGTAAAAAATATTCTTTTAAGAAAATTCTTACACGCTGTTGAAAAATTCTCTCGGACAATAAGCTCGAAGTAGCAAAGCCAGTTAGTGATATTTTCCAATGAGAGATAAATTCGAAAGACGGAGAAAATTGATTGAAAACTCAGCGCGTGGGACGTGATTGCAATATGTTCTTGGTGGAAGATCAATTTGTGGAAACGAAAGCCTTATCCCAACAAAAATATCTCAAGTTTCTTACCTCAAAGCAAATTTCAAGGTTATTCGAAGCTGGTTTTATTTGAAGGGTAGAGGGCAGAGCGCTAAAAATTCACCTTGCAAGCTTTCAAGCTACGAAAAAGCTAACCTAGTGGTTAAAAATAGGACCTGAAAAAATTCAGGCCCGTATAGGATTTGAACCCATGACCTCTGTACGGGCCTGAATTTTTTTCAGGTCCTATTTTCAACTACTAGTTTAGTAGTGTTCTTAGCTGCGAGGATCGCTTAAATTCGTTTCTTCACCGCAGTGAAAATATATGAATTTCATATATCTAAAATCATTATTCATTTCTTGGATGTTTTATTTGGACCCAACATTTTAACTTGTTCCCAGGTGGCTTGTTAGCTCAGTTGGTAGAGCGCTGCACCGGTATCGCAGAGGTCATGGGTTCAAATCCCGTACGGGTCTGAATTTTTTTTTCAGGTTCCATTTTCAACTACTAGTTCAGTAGTGTTCTTAGCTGCGAGGATCTCTTAAAAGCTGAAATTTATTGAACGATAAGTTTTAACGGTTGAAATGACGGAGGTAACAATTCCTATTGGAAATAACAATTCTAATCCGTCTGTCTTATCATGAAAATAACTTTGGAATTCTGTGCTTTGACTTTTCGCACTGACGAGAAGAAATAGTTGGTTAAAGTTACTTGAAGAGGTCTTTCGGAGGGAAATGATTTTGTAGCTAAGAAAACTTAGGTCAGTTCCATACAACCTGCTCAAATTACTCGCTAACATTTAATAAGCTGAATAAGTTTAACCAGAAGGTTTCGGTAACAACTGATGAAACTGTGGCGGCGGATAAATGGATTATGGATAAAAGTTTCCGCCAATCTCAGTTATTATGAACTAAGAAATGAAGCACAACGTTATTTTGTTCTATTAATAGTTTGGATTATAGTCACTACATCGAGACTTGAAATATAATTCCGTTGTTTATTTAGAGTTACGAGCCCCCTATTTGGTTTATTTTCCCTGCAAGCTTGACGCACACTAACCAGCCCATTGAATTTTTCTTTTTCTGTCTGGTGACAGACAAAAGCAGAGTAATATTGGGTCAACCTGATGAAATTGGTGCCATAAACTTAACTTGGTCTCAAACCAAGAACAAGCAAAAACAAAAATACCATAGCGTTATACCCAGAATCAGCCCTTTTTGTCACTCTAAGCTATCGATAAAAAAACTCACGTACGTTTTCAAGAGTTTTGCTGTTACTCTAAATTTCTGTAATTAATTTGGCATATGTGACTGGCAGATTTTGTGATGTTCCATGTTTCAACTAATAATTTGCAATAAGACTTTTTTTTTTTCATTACCTGAGTCTTTGATTTTGGACTAAAGAAATCTTTTTAGCTAAATATTAATTGTTCACGAACTGAGGGACATAAATGTTTTTTATGAGTTACATAGCGCAGTAACCAATTTTAATTGAGATAAAAAATGTTTGGGGATAACTAGTGGCAAAAGAAAGGAAAATGTATTAATTTCGGATAATCGCAAAATGAAAACAAAAAATTTCTTATATCCAGTTTGAAATACCCCGTTGTAATATCACATGTAACTAGTCTTATCGGTACAATTTTAACTGTCTTCGTTTCTATTTGCCCCATTTTTGAAATTTTCCATTGGAAATTCCGTGATCTTATTAGCGGCGAAATAAAATCAACTGTCTAGATGAATAAATTTATGTTTTTAATATCTTCTTTTCATTGGTCAGTACAGTGTCAACTCGATTAAAAAATATGTCCGCTAAGTACAAAAGAACACATCTGAAACTACAGCAAACCGGTTCCTAAATTATTTATCACCTTGTCAGAGACTAGAGCTTTGTTTCTGGAAATTAAAAGCAAAGTTGAATACATTAGTAATTAGCTCGGATAGATATGAGCTGAAACCCTTTAGAAGAGAGCCAAATAAATCGAAGGATTTCTGATGATACCTGAGGCTAGTCAAGGCTTAGAATTTCATATCAGTCGAGTTTAACAGAAGGTGAAACTCTGTATAACGGTGAGTAGATTTTTGGTTGCGGGGATCATTCGTAAGGGAATTAACCTGGTCTTGTGAAAGGTAATGGGTAAGTTCAACTCTGTGAACGACACTAAACTTGAAACTATAGTGAGAAAGATGGAGACTTGACATCCCGCCGTCGTATGACGATCATGGCCAAGCGTTAGCTCGAGTGCTAGACAATCAAAACATTTCCACGAGGATTTAAACCTCAGACTTTCGTAGATTTAACTGTCGATTGCTTTAATATGAAATTTCAGAGAACGCTATGGTGAGTTATGTAACAATTCCTACAAGACGAGCATCTTGCATCAGTTCTGCTAAATCATCCATTTCTATAAGAGACATATCCTTAAAACTTGTAGATATTTCCTCGCTTTTGTAATGATGTTTCAGCGCACAATCGGTGTGGTTAACTTCATTAACAGATCGAAATATCTTCCGTACGAAATTGCATTTTGCAGGACTAGCAACGAACAACAATTTAGTTCGTTATTCCGTGAACAATGAGAACTTACACAGAAGTCTAAATTACATTTAACAAGCATGTACCTCTGTACGTGCGTCAGTTTTGTGTCCACTTTAACAAGATTAGATGATTCGAAATCAGATCATAAAGGAGAGTAAAAAAAGAGAGGGATGAAAGCTAAGCCTATTAACAAACCATCATATTTGCTCACTCAAGATCGATTTTTTTTAAAAATTTTGTGAACGGATTTTGGACGTGTTCAATTTTGAGTCCTTCATAAATCGAAGAAAACAATACAAGGCTAATTGCTTTTCTAATATTTACTTTTCGGATAATTTTTTTTCCAAAATTTCAATTAAGCACTATTGCGTACAATATACGATGTACATGTTTCAAAACTGGAAGGAGTTTTAACGGAGGCTGGTCGAGAAGAGTTATGAAACCACATCGATACATTTAACAAGACGTTGTGGTCGACCTTGGAAAAAACATTAACAGCTGGGAAAGACTGGCCTGTACTATCTTTAGTTGTCGTACTGTTCTCGAACGATTTGCAGGACTAAAGTTTGGTTTAAGATAATTAGAGATCGAACTAAAGTAAGGCGGGTAGAGAGTTTGGTTTATTTTTTCTAGCGGAACACAAATTACTTATGATTCCTTGCTTAATAGATCGCAAATCATTTATTGTTAGGAAAGAGAATCAATAGCCATCAATTACGATTTACACCTTTGGATGAAATGAAATTGCCTCGAAAACTTTTTAGTGTCTTTTCAGTTTAACCCAGCAAGGAAGAAGTATTATTATTATTATTATTATAATTTGAATGTTAGACTTTTTGTCTACCACAAAACCTTTTGATAAGGTAATCGTGAAGGTTGGGAGTCATATTAATTGGTTTTGCTCGATACTCACCTTCATTTATTTGAATGACTAACCCTTAGAATTAGTAGGACTTTTTTTTCGAAATTTTCGGTTCTGTGAAGCGTTTCACTTTAGGAAGAATCTACATACATTTACTTTTCAAACGGGAGAACTTTGTGGAGAAATTTCACTTTTTTGAGGGCAATTCCCACAAAATCTACTCTCAGGATAATATGAAGATCTTAAATAATTGATAACCCAGCTGAAAAGTACATTGCGTCTTCTTTTTTTCTTTAATCAATATTTGATGAAGTAGACAATGCTCACCAGTTTCTTTTCCCACGTCGAAACCTCCTAAGTTAATGTCTGATGTCCCAAAACAAATCTTTACATAATGACGTTTGTACCTATTACGTCTTGAATGGAATCAGTATTGAAAATGAAAGACATCGTGGAGGTTTTATGTTTTTCTTCGTAGCGGAAAAGTTTTGTAATAATACGCCCACTTCGATTTTGTTTTTGGTTTTCTGGTGCAAACAGTTATGTTGCCTCCTCGCATCATTCTCCAAAGTTCTTATTTTTTCGTCGCCATACTGTCACAACATTTCATTTGCTTGAATAACATCCGCAGATCTGCATAATTTTTGGGAAGGAATCGTCTGTTCTATCTTTGTCTGCGGGGGGAATCAGCGGGTATTGTATAAACTAGCAATGAAAACTTTCTTGCATTGAAAAAAAAAAGTTTTAATTTCTTTAGCTGTACTCCAGACGGAAATAAGGCAGTCGACTCAATGAACAAATTGCGCAGTCATTTCGCGTAGTCACTACTTTTGAATACAGGTCATTTTTAATCCTTTAGCTCCAAAGATCTGATTGTCAATTCTCCCCTGTACCTGCTTCAACTTCCAAGTAAATTAGTTAC